TGTATATTAAACCAGCCTCTCATCAATCCTGCCTAGTGTCACTGTAACTCAAAGAGATGAACAGCATGGGGTCAGCAAAAAAAAAAAAAAAGAGTTGCAGCCTTCATCAAAGCACACAGGCAAAGCTTATAAATATTCAATGCAATTTTGGTTGCCGACCTACCTCTATCATCACACAGTGTGATGCACATCCCGTCTTTGCAGTAGGAATTGGCAGAGGAGGGAGTCTAAACCCAGACCTCTTCCTTTAGTTCTGAAGCTGAAGCAATCTGCGTCCAACAAAAAGTGACTGCCCCAGAACAAAAGCCAGCTGCTAAAAAAGGGTTTGAATTAAGCACAGAAAAGCACCACCAGAATGGATGCCTGGGAAGAAAAGCCAGATGTGCAACTTTGGAACAAAACACAATTTTTTTTGCCGCTGAGTGTGATAGAACTTCAGTTCTCCATTTCTTTAATGTCTTCAAATCAAGGTGTGCCATCTGTCCCAATGCTACCAAGTCAGGAACATCCAGCATACCTGTACCTCCCTAAATAGATGCGGGGAAGGGAAGGGAAGGGAATGGCTGGAGCACTGGGCTCGTCTCTAATCAGTGGTTATACCACTCTGCGAGAAGCCTTGCCTAACCCAAGCATAAGTGACTCGGGCTCAGTGCAGGCATGCGGGGTGACATTCCCTGGCCTATGTCATTTCAGAAAATTAATTCCCTGTGAAACTGCTGTCCATTCAAACCCAGGTCAGATTTGCTCCTGAAAAAGCTAACCCCTTTTCAAACTTTTCTATACCTAGACTGAGTGCCTATCTGTATTTTTTGACAGGAGGACTCTGTCTTCCTTTAATTATAGTGAAAGACACAAGGATAATTCATGTCTCTTCACACTGATAAATAATATAATAGGAGAGTAATACCATAGATATGATGAATTATTTATGTATTCACATGTTCCCTGTATGTCAAGTAACGAGCAGTGTGCATGCTCCTGCATTTATTATGTCCTACATCACAGAGAGTCTTAAAATGATACATATAGCCTAAGAGACTAGAGATTTTCTATTTCGTATGTCTTGCTGCCATCTAGCGGTACTAGATGGGCCTTCATTTGTATACAAAAAATCTTGAGCTTCAGCTAGCATGACTAGAAAACAGCTAAAAAGTATTCAGACATTAAGGCTATAATAAATATAAATGGAAAGTCTGACAATTTAAAATAAAGGCAGTAAAAATAAATGCAAAATAAAAGAAGCCTTTGCTGCCCAAAGATGATACATCGTATAGTGTACATGGTTCAGAAAGCAGCACGTATGGAAGCGTATTGGTGATATGACACTTATCTATGAACAGATTCAGCAAAACCCTTAACCATGTGCTTATTTAATGCAAATCATCAAGCACAAGTCTAATGTCTGCTAGGTGCTTTGCTGAACCTTGCCTATAGTTCATTAAGAGCTGTCTTGTCTGACCAGATCATAGGTTAGATAGAAAGATGGATGCAATGAACATCGGTGTGAACTTCAACCAGAATCTCAGCCAAAGTCAATATTCCCATGACCCAGTGGCAGCCCTGGACATCTACAGAGAAGGGTACAGCCAGATGTCTATTGCTGCCAGCAGGAAGCTGACTGGGGGCGGGGGGGTGAACTGTGGGACATGAAACCATGGTACTGAACTACTTGTGGAAAGCTGAAATCCTGCCATTCCAAAGCTGTAGTTATCCAGCAGCATCTTGCTGGGGGTGGGGGGGATTTCAGAGCCAAGCTCCAGATTTTTAATACTTGGGTACCAAGTGAAAGTTTTGAAAGCACCAGCATACATGGAAATTTACACTGAAATCAATGAGAATTAAGAACAGAAGTCAGGTAGGCCCAGATCCTCAGGGGTATTTGGGAATCAGCGTTCCTTGGCAGTTTTGAAACACCCACTTTATACCTTGATTTTACTGATGGTACCTGAGGATGTGTGAGAAATGTGGCTTGGGTGACAGAGATTAACTGTGGAGACTGCAGCTGGTGGTCCATCTGGGGAGAGCAGCCCTGGGCAGGGTTTCCTCATCGGTGGTACGAGGATACTCCCCAAGCAAGCAAGAATTTCTACCCTCGCCGCCTCTTTCTCTAGTAGGCAAGCAAAGAGACTGAACAGCAGATTCTCACCTTTGGCAGGCTGCAAACAGAGCTGTCATCTAAGCAAGGTACAAGCCCGCCCATCCAGTTTTCCCAGTGGTTAAAATGAGCATGCCTCTTACCAACCATACTTCCTTTTTCCTTCTCTTTGTAGCTAGGAGATGTGGAGGTTTTTAAGAGCTTTACCTACTTTTTATTGGGCCTTACATAGCTGACTGTAGGCCAGCCCATGGGAGGTCTTCATTAAACAGGGTAGGCACATAAATAACCAACTATAACACAAATCATTGTAGCTCCACTGACTCCTGTAAATCTGTTCCTGTGGCTCTGCCCACTAATTTCTTCTTAGGACAAAAAACATTTTGGCACCTTAGAGCTGCCCAAAGAGTTGATTTTGTTAGTAACCCACACAGGGATAATTTAAAAGTATCACCATGTCACCAAAACTGTTTGAGCACTGCAGTCTCCCCATTTAACAACCTTAATTGATCAGTTAGCATCCTATTTTAACCAGCAACTGCATTGTTCAGCTCTAGTTGGAAAGCATGGGAAGCATGGGATTTTGTCTGCAAATGAGCTGGCTCCTGCCATAGCACAAGACCAAATGGGTATCAACTGGCTGGAAACAGGAAGGTTTCTAACCCTCCTAATCAGTGAGGTTATGGAGCAGCCCTCTGCTAAGAGCAGTCAGAGCCTAATTAGTTATAAAGTAGAGCTTGATAAATGGATGGATTTTAATGACCTGCTGGTCTGAACTAGCGACAGAGAAGATTCAGCTTGAAGATCCAGGCTGCCCCTTCCAATCCTATGTTAATAAATTAACAGCGACACCCTTGCTTCCTGGGATTTCCTTAAAACAGGGCACTGAGACCATGCACATTATTGATCAAACCAGCAGGCAGCAAACTCCCAGCTGCCTGTTGCAGCCTGCACTGAGCTCATTACACCAGCTCCCAGGGAGAGCTTTTTTGTGTTTTAGAGACAAAGGAATGAGCAAACCACTAAAATAAGTAGCATTCATTTATAACAGGTCTGTGGAACTGCTAATATGTGGGGCTAACCTCCTATTTCATTCCAATATTATTCTGTAAGCAGGTCTGCACCTTAAACATTGAACTTGTCTGGAGTTAGCTTAATGTAAATCCATTTTCCCTGGGATTGTCTCCCACATAGGCTACTGTCCACTCTAAGGCTGTAGGACCAAACGATTGCATTTCAGTGGGAACCGATAGGAAAACCGCAACTCATCAACCAAGGGCATGCCCCAGGTAGGGGTCTTTCCCTTCTTACTGTCACTCTTGAAATAGCAATGCTTGGCATAACATTTTGATGGTTTCATTGGCAGCAGTCCCCCCCCCTTTGCATTTGAAAGCCAGTTGATCAAGGCTCTTAACAAGACTTGGGGTGAGGTCCCAGCCCCACTGAGGTCAGCAGCACTCAGCTGCCTACAGCTATTACCCAATATCTTACTACTGCTGCAGTAGAGGCTTGCTGCACTATTCGGGATGCTACCGCAGGGTCAACCCACTCCAGGGAAAGTTAAAATGGCCTTTGTATTTTCTAAGAAGAGTAGCAAAAAAGGCAGGGAATCTGTACCAGCCTACAGCTGGATCGACACATCACATTACTCAGAGCTTCATGGAGCCAGGTAGTTTTGCTGCAGTCATCAAATATTTTGAAAGCTGTTTTCAATCAGACGTGGAACAAAACCCAAAAATCTTTCAAAATTCTCCATAAAAAGGAAAACGCCCAGGGGCCTGGGCACCATGGTAGGGAACATGGCTGCCGGCCCTGGACACGTGGAAGCCCTGGGCTGCTACGCCACCAGGTTTGCCAAGAGCCAGGAAGCCTGCCTGTTGGAAAACTGGGCCGGATGCGAAATCTGCCTGGCAGTGAGGAAGCCTGCCTGCATTTACTGCAGCTCTGTGCAGCTTGCACTACCTCTGCAAAATGATTGCCTTTAGACCATTTGGCCAATGGTGGGGGAAGAACTGGCATTCCCCATTCCCTTCTCCTGTAGTTATTGCCATGGTCTACTGGGATCCACTCTCCCACCACTACAAAGGTCCAGGTGGGCAACACACGGGAGGGTTGAAAGCTATGCCAACAGCTTTAGCTTCTCTGGCTTCCCTGTAATCAAAGTGCACTGCTTGAGCTGATGCTGGGGCCACGGCTGGCTTCAGACAAACCCGTGCTTTGCTAGATGCTCTCTCTTTCAGACAATTGCCTTGCAAAGAACCTCTTCCAAAAACCTGTGCAACGAACTGCCTGTGAAAGAGAAAAATGGAAAGCTCCAGGGACAAAACAGCCTCAAGTTACCCAGAGCTGCTCATTACCACAGAACAACCCAGGAGGTAGCAGTACAAACTGTCCCACGGCAATGTGTCTCTTAAGAGTACATCTAGAAGGCAATCAAAGGCGACTGCAGGTCTTGGGTACCAACAACACTGCAGCCACAGTAGCAGGGTGCTCAGGACCAAGCTGTCCAGGGTTATGGGCCAGTCTGTGCAATTGCAATTAGGCTGCTATTGGTACCCAACGTAGCTCAGGTACGCCTGCTGCAAAACCACCTCAATCTGCAGTTCAGCCCTACAACCGGGTCCGTCTCCACCGTCCATTCTATCGTGGCTTTTTTACCTGTGTTTAGAAAAATGAATGGTAGCATGATGGGTTTGTTCTGGTGATTCGTGTCAGCTAAGAATCCAGCTCATCAGCTCCTGTCAGTGTGACAAATATCTTCCAAGACAAATGGACTCCAGGGCAGATCCAGCACTATAAAGCAACACAGATTTCAGAGCTATGCCCATTTACAACAGCTGAGCATCTGGCCACAGGCAAATAGTCATAAAAAGCACCCATCACTTCAAGACACAGATACACCTAGTGAAACAACAACATTTTGTCTTTATTAGGAGTTCCCATGGTAATATAACACAGAGTTCTTAAGGAATAAAACACAAGACTCGGGAAGGGACGGGGAGGGGATTGTTGCCATTGAGACAATGGTCAAATATCAGTACTTCTTCTTGTCTAACACACATGATCAGCTTTAGCACTTACAGCTCCTTCACTCATGAATCACAACCACAAATCCAAGGATTAAATCCAGCTAGTATTAAATCCTACTTTTTTTCTTTTTTTCTTTTTTTTTTTTTTTTTTTTTTTTAGAGCTTCAAGTCACTGCGGTTAATTAAGTCGTCATTTTTTTTCTTTAAGCATTTACATATGACATTCATTAAACAGACACAAAGCGTACGAGCTCCCACAGGAAAAGAACATGCTTACAAGCCTGCAAAAATCTTTTTTTTGTGATTTTTTTTTTTTGTTTTTCCTTTTAAAGAACAAACGGAAAAAAAAAAAGTCATCATGGATCAGTGAAGGGAACAAGGAAGACTTAAGTGAATACTGAAGAGCTGCAAACTTTTCACAGAATTGAAATGAATTTGTGGTTCTCTCTCCCCAACTTGTTCAAATGTATTTCAAAGCACAGGTGGGATAAAAATTAAGTACAGCTGCAAGATGTGCGTGTGCGCGAGCACATACACATGTTTATGGATCAGATCCACACAACACTGAACGTCCTTACCCAAAAGACCCCAGAGTTAAACCAAAATGGAAAATGCTTGGATGGATGAATAGTCCAATTTTGTTTTTCAGGCTGCTTTTTCAAAGGAACCTAAAGGAGTTAAGTGCTGCAACCCAGTGGGATTTAGATGCCCAAATGGTTTCAAGATCCTCTGAAAATCCCAGCACTGAGTGTGCTGTAACAGCAGAGTTGGGATTTATTCTGAAAAGCCTGCGTATATCTATTTTCCTTGCAAGAACCTCCAAACAACATATTAAAAATGCATGGAAACACAAAGATAATGCATGTGCTAAAACACAGAGAGACAAGGAAGCAGATGGTGCAGACAAGGGCAGGGGACAAAAAGGCAGTGGGAATAATGCTTTGTTAGCTGTGGGTAGCAATAACCTCTATGTAAACAACCAGCCCAAGGCTTCTGCACCACTACAGCCTTCAAGACAGGCTTTATGTAGGACATAAATAGTGCCCATGTAACAGTCTCCATCTGCAGGGATTGAGCCCTCTGGCTCTTACAAAATTGATTCCTTGAGCTTAATAAGCAGAGCCCACCTCCTTGAATGGGTTGCAATGCCTACCGCCTATCAGATCCAAAGGGTCCTTTTTCCTTAGTTCACAGGCAGCAAGCAGCTTCTGTGCTCGATGTGGCCCGGAGAAGGACAAAACTCCAGTGACTATGGTGGGCAATACGTAGGCCTTTGCTAGTACTTGCATGAGAGTAAAGTCCTGAAGGGATGTTACATGTTTAACCAATTTGTAAATGACTGGCAACAGATCTACACTGAAATCACAAGCGATTCCCAGCACAGCTGACTCTATGATTGCAGCTGCCATTGATAAAGAATTTCTTCTGTGTTTTAATGACGGGCTTTCAGATGACAGCAAAAGACAGGACTCTTCAAAATGACTGCTCTTCCACATCCTGTTTTCCTGATTATCAGGGTGATGGGTAGCTACTCAATTAAATTGGGTTCGTTTGGCAGCGTGGCAGTACCTGACTAAAGCCCCAAGTTACCGACTTTCTCCTCCAGAAATGACAAGTTAATTGTGTAGAGGTTTTCTAGAGACTCCTTTCCAGATCCTCTGAGGGCGTCCATCAGCTGACTTAGCCCAACTGAAGATCTGGTACACCTTGACGGAGATCATAGCTCATGAGCATCTTGTCAGGGATTCATAAACACGTAAAACTAACCTAAGCACCAAGTGCTGGCTGAAATGGTGAAGTGCTCTGAACTCCTACAGCAAACTATCGCAATGGCAGTGGTGCTGTTGAGACCCTGCAGCTCAAAGGAGGGGGCAAGGGGGCAGGGACAGGGCAGGAATTCTCAATGCTGAGATAAGGCTTTGTAAACACAATGGTACAAAAACATTTAAAAAAATAAAAACACGAACAGAATTTTTTAAAAAAATAAAAAGGAAGGATCCTCAAGGACCTGATTTGCAGCAAAATCCGGAAGGAAAAGAAACAATAAAAATAGCTCAACCCACCAACATGGTAATGATGCCTGTTGTCAATCTCTAGGAGCCAATTCAAGTGGCAGAGACACAGCTGGTCTGTGAGCTCACAAGGGTAGTGATGGGAGAAGGCAGACCTATGGTTTAGACCCGTGTCCCTCTGCTGCTGTGCTGCAGGTCAGGACCACAAGACTTATCCAGTTTCACCCCATGAATTTTCTAGCCTGCTCAACATTCAATAAAAGCATTTTTTTTTTTTTTTTTTTTTTTTTTTTTTTTTTTTTTTTTAAATAAAGGCAGCTCCTGGGAAATTCACTTTCTCCTTCCTTTGCCAAAAGAAAGATGTTGAATGGGAACAGAGGCCACGTGTGGCAAACATCCTCTTTCCATTTATTTCTGCATGTCAGAGGTGTCAAAAACAGGGCTGGGGTTGTCTCTTTAGATGTTCAGGGGCAGGAGGGGACGTGAGTGGGTGCAGTGAGGATGAGGAGGGCGGGGGGTTGAGAGGGAACAGAAAGTGGTGCCTTACTTGACCCCACCCATTGGTTGCCCGCAGTAACTGTCACAGGCTCTAAATGAATCACAAGGGTCTCCAGTGCCCCGCGCCCCCTTCCCCGGGTCCGCTAGGCGGCCACAGAAGGGTTCGTTTCTTAGCCCAAGCTGGTGATGTTGGCACGTCCGCCGGGTGGGGCCACGATGCGCTGCGTAGTGCGGCGGGGGATGTTATCATCGATCTGTGCGCCTGGAGGGAGACAAGAGACGTACCCCATGAGTGCTGGAGTCAACAACGCTGCAGCCAGTACCCCGCGCAGAGGTGCCACCAGGGGACCAAAGGAACATGACTTTGCTGAAACTGTTTGGCCGGGGCTGAATTAAGCAGCCCTCATCTTTCAACTTGTCTGAGGGAGGCAACCTCTGCAGGAAAGGTTATTTCCCATTTATGCATCCAGCAAGCTGCTTCTCTGCAAGGGGAGGAACCCAGGACAAGGGGAATAACCTCAGCACATCTTGCCGTTTCCACTAGGTCAGGGAGGAGCACTGCACTGATCGCTACTGTTCAGCTGATAAAGGTTCTTCATCTTCACAAAGGCTAGAAGAGACTATGAAGGAACTGGGGCCACTGAGGAAGTCAACTGGCAAAGAGAAATGAGTGTTGGTCTTTTTTGGCCCTGGGACTAACTCAGCCCAACTGTCAGTGAAAACATTTTTCAGGCTTAGCTTCTGTTGAGGTGTCTACTCCCCTTTTATCAGGCCCTTGAGCCACCCAGTGCACCCATTTGCACCAGGGTCTCAGTAGAATACCTTACTATAAAACAAGGGAGAAAAACTATGACCATGGTGAACCTTGCCACTGAAGAAGGGTGTGTGAGACCCTTCCCTATGCTATCAGGTATCCAGGTTGTAGTCGGATTGGTCTATGGGGAAAACCAATCTGGGCTTATGGTGGAGGTGATATATTTTTATAAGACCAACGTGATTTTTTCAAAAAAGTGTCTTTAATTGCAAGCTTTCAGGTCCAAAAGCTTGCAATTAAAAGGTTTGGGTTTTTTGTTTTGGTTTGGGGTTTTTTTGTTTGTTTTGGGGTTTTTTAACACAAAAGACTTGTTGGTCTAATAAAAGCTATCATGTCCACCATGAGCCCAGACCGCTTTTTCCCATATGCTGAGACTCCCACACTCAGGGTGTTAGGTCATTCCTCTGGGTCTACAGGCAAGTGCTGGAACGAGAGCCTCCAATACCTGTTTTCTTCTATAGGGGGATATGCTCATGGCTGTATACTCCCATCCATTCCTGCTCTTTCCTCCTGCCTCCACAGAACAGGCAGCATAAGAAAAAAAAATAGCCAAGATAATCAGTATAGTTATGTAGCTCATATAAATGAGTACATACCAGACAAGCTAAATCCAGACTGGTGCAGGTTTCTGACAGGTGGGGCCTGCTGTTTGGCTGGAGATGTCTTAGCAGAGGATGCTGGTGTGACAGTCTTTGGTGTCACTGATACTTCGCAGACAGGACCATCATACAGTCCACGTGGGACACCTCTCAGCTCAGCCAGCTGGAAAAAACATAAGCAACAAGGCTTTAAAGAGGCGAGTCAAAGACATGTTTGTAGAAGATCTGAAGAGGGACTAGATGTCATTAAGCTGAAGAGGATCATTTGAAGATTCATCATTACCACCAGGGTGCTAAACCATAGTTATTTATTTACTGCTGATCTCTGTCCTGATCATTGGTGATCCGTGGGGGGATGCATGTGCACCCCCTGAGTACAGAGGTGCACCCCTGCAAAAAAGCGCTGCTGACACTGCCAGCGGCACCTGTGGGCAGTCGCCATTCACCACCCCCTACCCCCACCCCACCCCACCCCCAGTGGCATCCGTGGGCAATCCCCAGTCGCCGCTGCCA